TTACAATGCAGTTGAAACAATAAAATAATAGTCATATTACTAAAACAATCATACTATTATGAGACAAAAAAAGTTATAATATATTATGAACATAAAGTAATATTACTACAAAAAATACATTTGTACCAGAATACACTCAAAATAATAAAAAGAATAAAGTCATAATATTACCAGAAGTCATGTTATTACAAGAATAAAATCATACAAAAATTCTGTCAAAATACTGAGAGATTACAGTTATAATACTTTGAGAATAAAGTAATAATAGTACCAGAATAAATTTGTAATATTACTAGAATAAAGTCATAACATTATGAGAAATCCTACACAAAAACGCAGTCTTACCACTGTGTTAAAATGAGAAATGTTGGCATCTTGTGAAGTTATACTTCGGTATAACTTTATCAAAATGTCCTGATGCATCTCAGTAATCCAGGTAGAAAAAAAATCAAAAAGAAAAAATAAATAGGTCCTCTGGATGGGTGTTTCTTTAGTGAAACTGAGTTTCAACTGAAGCTCTTCAGACTGAGGAAGTCTCGGAGGAGAGACGAAACGTTTCACTAAAGAACCCATCCAGAAGACCTATTTATTTTTTCTTTTTGATTCATCAAAATGTGTTTGTCATCCCTGATTTAAGTCATATATCAGGATCTTTGTCTTCATACCAAACTTTTATTTAATCCTTTTATGTTTTTGGTCGTAATAGGCTTCCATATCGGCACAGGAAACAAACTCGGTGACATAAGCAGTTTGGTTGAAGTGAAGAAGAGCAGCAAACAGGCTGGAAAGAATGCAGTGAATGGAGAAATAAACCTCAGGCTACACTGAAGGAATCTGTCATCCTCTTTTTTTTTTAACATGCTGCTCATTCTTTAAAACTTATCTGCATCTGTCAAATATTGTTCTTTTAAAGATTTGAGCCTATTTCTACGTCTGCAAAGGCAAATCTCTTCAGTTTAATGACTCAGAAGTGGAAAAATAAGGTAATTTTTAATTATAAAGAAGTGACATGAGAGGATTTTTGAATCAATCCACCACAAAATCAAACTTACCCAGCTTTAAGAGTTACATCTGAAGATAAGTGGGTTGAATTAGCATATTCAGGTCAGTGGTTTTAGGGGGAGCACGTGAGTAAGACGGGGATTACATGTTGATCACATGACTGATAAACCCCAGTGTCATGACACGCTCCCGTTGGGGATCTTCCCTCTCAGATTTGTGTGATTGTGTGCTGCCACCTGCTGCTGCGTGAAAACTCCAAAAACTTCCTCCTCGACATGAAAACCACCCGTTTAACGTCTCAGACCCTAGAAGTTAACAAAAAATTTATAAAAGCAATGATGGTTAAAAAACACAACAACCTAAACATCTTTTAAAGCAGGAAAGTACACATGGCCTGATGTAGATCTATAATTCTAGATGTTAATTTAAAATATCAAACGTGAAAATAAAATTATAAACATGAAACTCATTCATTCATTGTCTGATGCCTTGACTTTTCAGAATTATGTTTTGTATAGTGGTATTAATTTATATTTTCAGATCTTCCAAGGTGCCADTTATGGAACTCTCTGTGCATTGTTACCCAAATCAAATTCTGGAAGTGGTCATTCAACTAGATCTGTTACAAAAGGACAACTGATATTACCAACTTTTAAAAACTGTTACGGCCAGAGGTCTTTCTTCTATGTTTATACTAAAGCATGGAATGACATTCCTCAAAACATRAAGTCCATTTCAAAACTACAGCCCTTTAAGAAGAATCTTGTCTGCCATCTGCTGGACACTTTTTGTTGTGCTCATATTTAGACGTCCTATTTTGCAAATGCTGCCTTCCTGAAAATTTGGTATGCTTGTTTGTCTTTGTGTCTATGGTGTATAATGATGTGATTGTGATGCTGTAHTTCTGAGTGTTTTATGTGCTGCAGAACAGGAACCTGCTGTAAAACAGCAATTATGCTGAGTCAGGCTTGATTTTTAGTAATCTTTTCCTGTTGAATCAATAAATCAAATCAAATCAACAATTTAGAAAATAACACAAGTAGAAATAAAAGAATAAAAACTTACTTTTAACCGGATCTACCTGGAAGAAAAGTTGACTTGTGTGTTGCTGTTGGCAGAGTTGATTCCAATAGCTGATGCAGACTAACTTCGGCTACTACTGCGCCAAATTTTAGCTCAAAATCTGGAAAACTGGCTAAGTTATACAAATTTTTGTGTTTAAGAATCTGCTGCTCAGGACGGGAGACAAAGTGAATGTTCATCACAATCTGATGTCTTCTTTAGAAAAATAACTTTTAATAAACAGCATTTTATCATATTTGTTTATTGTGAAATTTAAATAAATAGTTTATAAATCTCTGAAAAGTTGAAAGAACTGGGGAAATTGTGGATTTGTGTCAAGAAAGATAAAATCTTCAGTGAGTTCTTGACTCAAGTGCTTCAGTTGGCACAGATTAACTTGACCTACATTTTAACTTCTCCCTCGTGAGATTATTATTATTATTATTATTATTATTATTATTATTATTATTATTATTATTTCTGCTGCTGCAGTACGGAGCTCAAACAGTGGCAGCTTACAGTGACATCAAAAGAGAATTAGCATTGAAAAAATAAAATACTGTAATTGACAAATATAACGATACTCGCATTTTACACTGCAGCCATTTTTTATTTTTATGATAAGACAAGTTTTGTTTGCCACTGGAAGCTATGGCCATTTCGACGTCAGGGGGCGGGGTTAAATGGACCTTCCATTTTTTTATTTACTTTTTTTTGCTCATCCTCTACATCTACCTTAGCCTGGCCCTTGCCTTCCTATGCAGTTCCGCTCAATTCTAGTTTCGTTCACTGCTCCGTCTGGGATTTCTCCCATAGACAAGGATTTCTTCGGGTGAATTTTCATCCGGGCCAATCAGAGAACAGAAGGCGGAATTTTGAACGACGGATTTTCTGCTTAGTGTCTGCTAGTTATTTTAGAATACAGCAGCGGAGGAAGTGAATGAAGCCAGTCCGTGTTGATAAGACTTCCAAATTAAATTAAATTTGTCTGACAAAGCAGCAGCTCTCATTTACAGCCGTCTCGTTCAGCTCGGTACTTTTCTCCTCTCAGTAGGGTTGTTTACAGCGCTCGCGATTTCCGGTTAGCTTCTTAGCTTAGCCTCCTTCAGAGTGGAGCAGGCACGCATACATCACGGCTAACCGATCCAATCCTTTTAAACTTCAGCAGAGGCCACGCCTCCAGCAAGAATCACTTCTCTATAGCTGCGAGTCCAGACCCTTGTACGAAGCAAAGTGAAGGACAGGGTTCTGGTTTTTACCAGACTACATCTACCCGCATTCTACTAATGAAAGGTTCAGGTTCATGTATCGCTCCTCAACCACAGGTAAGGCTCTTGTTTTTAGGATTACCATTATTACCTGTATAAACCGACAAAAGATGCAGTTTCACTTTTAAAATAAGCTAACTGGCATCATATTAAAGATGTATCAGAACTCACTTTAGCCGCTAGCTAGCTTAACCGGAAACGTTCTCAAGACTCACAATTTGTTTGTTGGATTTCGTAAGGGGTAATGGTGAAGAGACCCCCATCCTTTTATTTTTTCATATCTCTGAGGTTTATGCGAACTTGCTGCACTACACAGCCTTCTACGTAGGTTATCAGGGTGAACCACTTGTTGTTTTATACAGCTAATAACTAAAATAATCATAAAAACAAGAGCTTACCTGTGGTTGAGGAGCGGTACTTGATCCTGAACCTTCCATCAGCAGATTACACAAGACAAGTGGAAAAATGAAGATTTAACCCTGCCCCCGACGCCAAAATGATGACATCTCTCATTGACAACGTAAATAAAAGAACTCTGCGTTGAAAACTTCTCATCCAAAATATAAAACATAAAATGTGGCGTAAAATAAGAGTATCAAGTTTTTAATGAAAATGTTTGATTTTACAAAGTTTTTTTTCAGTGCCACATCTCTTTTTTTCCATGTCAGTGTACGCTGTCACTGTTGGAGCTCCGTACCGCTGCAGCGTCAACAGCTCAAAACAAAACACCTTAAAGAATAAATTCAGTCCAAGACAGCGGCTCTGCCTCAAACAAGACTTTATGATAACATTAAAAACATCCAGAAAAACACATTACATCAAGTAAAAACTTACCTCAATATAAATTAACACCAAGCCAAACATTAAACATTACTAATTAAAAGAACACATATCTGTATTTATGTTAGATTTTTAAATAAATGATGCAGTTTTAGCTCACTTTGGCTGAAGTTTTCTGAGTTAGTTGGGGCGGCCATCTTTAATTAAGCTGAACAGCTGGTAAGATGTAGATTCATTCTACAGTCGTTCCATTCAGTGGTTTATGGGATATTTTGCTAACAGACAGTCTCATGTGAGTAGTTAGCCCCAGATTTACATGTTGGGAAAGGCACTCTGTAATTATTTTAGCTTAATATCAGTACAACTGACTGAGTTGGAATCATTTTTTTTATGAGTTTATATATATAAAATTAATAAAATCCAAAATACAGCAACAGTAATCCAAAAATTAACAATATCCCAGAAATCTCCACTGGTATAAGGTTGTTTTTCAGGACTTTTTACTGTTTTCCTCTAAGTTGAGAGTCATCTGTGAAGAAAACTGCAAACCTCGTGAACAAAAAGTCGTGAAAAATTGGTAAAAAGTTTACAAATATCAGTTTGGCTTTTTGTACAAATGTAAACAGACCCAAAGGCTGCTTTTAATAAATAAGCAAACAGTAAAAACAAACAAATTGAGGGAGTTTAACAAACCATTTTATTTTTTTGGAGACTTTAGGTAAATAGAAATGAAAATTTAGAAAAATTATGTTTTTAGGATACAATATGTTGGCTGAAAGGAAGCCGCTCAAAGCTTTGTCCAACATTTACTCTAACTTTACTAAAACACAGTATTTAATAAAAAATAAACTCACAGACTTCCCTTTAATGAAACAAAGTGATTAAACGATGACGATCAGTGCAGTAAATCCACTGTGGGAAAAACTCACCAAATAAAGATGTGGTTTTAAAAACAAGTCAGGTTACAGTTCAGAGTCCCAGTCTTCCAGCTCAGAGGGCGTTTGTCTCAGGAGCTTGTCCCAGTAATAATCCATCACAGCGCTGGGCAGGAACTCCTCGTCGCTCACCAGATGGATCATCTTAATGTTTTTCAACATTTGACACCAGTTTCCTGCTTCTGAAGAATTAAAAAAGATATAATTAACTACAGAACCTGTTCAAATACTCGATTATTGAAGCTGTGATTAACCAACCGGGAGTCGGCTCCTGCACAGCAGAACTGCAGCCGCCGCCATTTTCTTCGGCCTCCATGTTTAGAAAGTAGTGAGATAAAGGTTTGTCTCTGAAAGTCACCTGTGAGGAAGTGAAGGTGTTTCCAAAACGATCAAACGTCTCACCTGTCCTGTGCATCGGTTTCTCATTTATTAAAGACTTGCAAACAAATCATTCAGAAAGGTTCAGATTTACAAAAAAAAAATTTAAATTTAAATCAGAGAAATGAGAGTGAAAGCTTAAAAAAAGTTTGATCCTGTGAAATAAGGCCAGAATGACTCTCAGCTACTACCTAACCAAATTTGGGCCCAATATAATTTAAATGAAGGTGAATTTATGGTCATTTTTGTTTGAGGCGGCCATCTTGAATTGACTCCAAAAGCTGAGCAGCTGTAGAACGTTTGCTAACAGTACAAACGCTCAGATGTGGCCTCGTTCATCTTTGGAGGCGAGTGAAAAAAGAAAAGACGAAGCATTAGAGGACATATTACGTGTTGAAACAAAAGCAGTTTTGTGTGATGAGTAGGGCTACCATGATTAATCGATTAATTGACGACTAATCGATTATTAAAATAATCGATGACTAATTTAATAATCGATTAATCGTTTTCTTTTTTTTTTTTGTTCTTTACTTTGTTTTTCTCTCCAAACTGCTTTGACACCTTCCACTGCCACATCTGCCTTTCTGTCCTTGACACACATGCACAGTAGTGGTAACTGGGGTAGGCCGTGGACGTCACAAGACATTATACAGACAGGCTCTGGTATCATGGCTACCTGACAACAGAGCTCAAAGTGTGGGATCATTTTAAGAAAATAAAGAGAAACCTGTGTAATATCTGCAGAGCAGAACTTACCTTCCACAGCAATTATTTTTAGTTAGCATATAGCTAAAATCCAACCATGGTTATATAATAGCAGCTGCATTCTGACGTGATAAGCTCTATGTTTTATATTCAATTAACGTTTGATCCGATTAGTCGACTAATCGAAAAAATAATCGGTGATTAATCGATTATAAAAATAATTGTTTGTGGCAGCCCTAGCGATGAGACGTAGACGTCCTGCTGACTCACCTTCTCCAGAGCGTACGTTGAGCTGACGGGGATATTTTTCCCGAGGATGGACTCCAGCCAGCGCTCCGGAGCTCGGTGCACCTTGCCTTTACTTACGACGGCGCCATCGGCTCCAACGTGAGCCACGTGCTGCTTACCCTGCAGCAGGATAAACGTTTGAGCTGAACCGGAAGGTTCAGAAGAACGTCACGACTGGTCAGGGTTCCCGTTAAAGGAACCAGTCATCAGAGGAGACGACAGGAGCTCAGTCAGACCTTCAAAGTGAGCCGTAAAGAACTGCCTGCTGTCAGGACGCCGCCCTGCAGGAGCCGACGGAGACATCGCTCGTCTTCAGCCCTCGTCTGAACGGCTGCATGTTTTCTCCTCACCTTGAAGGTGGTAAAGTTGCAAAGTTAAATGTGCGTCGCTTGATCTCTGCACAAATTAAATAACTATAATTGGTTGCAGGTGTAGGGGGGACACGCTCACCTGTACCGCCGGTCTGCAGTGATTCGATGTGTGATTTAACATTTTGTTCTTCGCGGTGACGTAAGCTTGTTCCAAATGCTTTTGATGTTGGAGGATTTCCACCAGTTTCCTCTGACAAGAAGCTAAAGCCAAGAACTGACCTTTCAGGAGAGTTTGGTGGAAGTGGTGTGGCACCGTCCTGCAGAAACAAACAAACAGTTATTTAAAAGAATAAAAGTTAACACTAGCTGCGTTTCCATTGGCCATGAAAATGCGCAAATTAGAATTTCAAAAATAAATTTGCTCAATGGAAACACGTCAATTAAAAAAAATTACGTTTTTCGACAAAATGTTTTTGAGCTAGGATGAGGTGGTATTTTGGCCGTATCGAAATTGGTGTTTTTCGCAAAACTGCAATAGAAACACTTTTTTCACATCACAGGAGTCACGTGATCAACAACCGGCTGTTTCTACTGGTGAAAAAGACAACGACGAAGAAGATAACAGGAAGTAGAAATAGTAGTAATATCACAGAAGTAGTATAAAGTAGTAAACTCACCGACTACAATTTCCCAAAAACACAGCATACGTAGCCGCTCCCAAGTAGGGACTTGTCTCTGGAAAGCCTCGACAAAAGACGCCGACGTCTCCTCTGATGATGAGCGCTAGTGTCGTGGTAGCAACATGCTATATGTGTTTACATCCATCACCGCCATGTTTGTAATGACTTATCATGAGCACAAACGTATTCACGCGTGACTTTAATAACTTTTCTTACTTAATGGAAACACCGCAGTTGTGAAACTGTGTTTTATCGACATTAACAGAATATTGAGAAAGTTTTGCACACATTTGCAATGGAACCGCAGCTACTGTTAAGATATTTAACTTGTCTTGAAAAGGTTTTAGCTCATGTAAATTAATTTTGAATATTTCACGACTAAACTAACTTCATTGTTTTTGGATTTTTCAATAATAAATAAATGCTTCTTTGTTCTGACCTGTATTTTTCTTTAAGGTTTTCCTTCTCCAAACACTGCTTATCCACAACAAACGCCAGCACGCTCTGGATCTGCGTTAAAGCTTCTCTGTATTTGTCTAAAATAAATCAGCACAACTGGAGTTAAAGGAATAAATTCAACATCTGTCCAGTTTACCTTCTGTTTGAATATAAATGAAGTTAAAAACAGAGACCAGGTAGCAGATCTGACCTGCATCCTTCAGGTCTTTCAGAGGCCAGGTTGGGATTTCTGTTTGTTTCCTCCTCAGGTCCTCCAGAACCGCCGCCACGGTCATGGAATGACTCTGAGCTCTGAGGACCTGGATCACATCAGAGTCCAGGTTTAAACAAGGTGGATTTACGGTAAGCGTGACGCTTGACTGGATTTAAAGGTAATAAAAAGTCGTACGTAATCAGAGCCGGCAGCGGCATCGTCTCTCAGCTCGTTGGCTCCGCCTCCGACACGCGGCTCTGTGGGGAAATGACCCATGGAAATGACCCGGCACTCAGGACTCACGGTAACTACGACACAGTTTACAGATGTTGACAATCATTGCATTAATAAACATCAGAACACAGCGATGTTCTGCGTGGGATCGTTACGTTGCCCACCTGGTGGTGCTCGCGGCTCCGCCTCCTCAAAGTGCCTCTGCTGCGTTACGGACGTCCTGAACGTGGCGAGCAGCTCCTTCATGTCCTGATCCTTGGCCATGTCGAACGCGCTACTTCCGCTGATCTCTCTGTCGCACGGGTTCGATCCGTTCTGGAGGAGGAGCTTCACCACCTGCAAACATCCAGTGAGTGCTGGCTCTTCCTCCTGCCAGCGGGACGTGACTGGAACGCCTCTGAAGGGAGGCGTCCCAATCAGGTGAACCACCTCAGCTGACTCCTTTCCATGAGGAGGAGCAGCGGCTCGACTCCGAGCTCCGGCTGAGCCTGGCCACCCTACGGAGGAAGCTCATTTCGGCTGCTTGTATCCAGGATCTTATTCTGCTGTTTCTGATCCTGTGCTGGACACAGCTAACTGAAAAGTTAGCTTCGCTAACTCATAATCTGCTAGCTAAAAGTTTGCTTTGCTTTGCTAAAGCCATACTACTAAACTCATTAAAAATTATCAGAAGCTAACACTAACAGCTAATCGTTAACACCTAAAAAACATTATTTGCTAACAAAGATAATAGCTTTGCTAATGCTAAACGTGTAAAAAAAGGAGAAGCTAATGCTAACGGTAACCGCTAAAAAACTCATTATCTACTAGCTAAAATAATAGCTTTGCTAAAGCTAAACTGCTAAACATGTAAAAAAAATAGCAGAAGCTAACACTAACAGCTAATCATTAACCGCTAAAAAACTCATTATGTACTGGCTAATATAATAGCTTCGCTAATGCTAAACTGCTAAGAATGTAAAAAAAAATTAGCAGAAGCTAACACTAACAGCTAATTGTTAACCACTAAAAACTCATTATCTACAAGCTAAAATAATAGCTTTGCTAATTCTTAACTGCTAAACATGTAAAATAATTTGTGGAAACAAACACAAAAGAGCTAACTATTAGCAGAAGCTAACACTAACAGCTAATCCTCAACCACTAAAAAACTCTATCTACTAACTAAAATAATAGCTTTGCTAATGTCAAACATGTAAAAAAATAGCATAAGCTATTGCTAACAGCTAATTGTTAATCACTAAAAAAACTCATTATTTACTAGCTAAAATAATAGCTTTGCTACTGCTAAACCACTAAAAATGTAAAAAATATTAGCAAAAGCTAACGCTAACAGCTAATCGTTAACCACCAAAAAACTCATTATCTACATGCTAAAATAATAGCTTTGCTAATACTAAACTGCTAAAAATGTAAAAAAAAATAGTAGCATAAGCTAANGCTAACAGCTAGTCGATAACCACCAAAAAACTCATTATCTACATGCTAAAATAATAGCTTTGCTAATACTAAACTGCTAAAAATGTAAAAAAAAAATATTAGCATAAGCTAACGCTAACAGCTAGTCGATAACGACCAAAAAACTCATTATCTACAAGCTAAAATAATAGCTTTGCTAATTCTTAATTGCTAAACATGTAAAATAATTAGTGGAAACTAACACTAAAGAGCTCCTTTTAGCAGAAGCTAACACTAACAGCTAATCCTTAACCACTACAAAACACATTATCTACTAACTAAATAATAGCTTTGCTAATGCTAAACATGTAAAAAAAATAGCAGAAGCTAATGCTAACAGCTATTTGTTAATCGCTAAAAAAAACTCATTATTTACTAGCTAAAATAATAGCTTTGCTAATGCTAAACTGCTAAAAATGTAAAAAAAATTAGCAAAAGCTAACGCTAACAGCTAATCGTTAACCACCAAAAAACTCATTATCTACATGCTAAAATAATTCTTAACTGCTAAAAATGTAAAAAAAGATATAGCAGAAGCTAACGCTAACAGCTAATTGTTAACCACTAAAAAAAAACATTGTCTACAAGCTAAAATAATAGCTTTGCTAATTCTTAACTGCTAAACATGTAAAATAATTTGTGGAAAGTAACACTAAAGAGCTAAAAATTAGCAGAAGCTAACACTCACAGCTAAGTTCTAACTGCTACGTCACACATCTTTGTCTTGTTTGAGCTAAAGACTTGGGACTGACACAAACCTGTTGCTATTACCTTGTTAGTTAGCTGTTAGTAGATTTAAAGTTGGCAAAACCCAATTAGGTGGAAGCTAATCATCCGCTAACGGTTTCTAAAAGAAAAGGTTAATCCGCTAAACAAAACATGGTGCTAATAGCTGCTTAGTGAAACCACGGCCACCATCATGACCACAGCTGAGGGTTGGGACAAACAGATCAGTAAATCCGGAGCTTGGACTTTCGACTCAGCTCTTCACCATGTTGGACCGGAGCAACGCCCTCATTACTGAGGCCCTGATTCGTCCATGAAACAAGACTCCCAGAAACTTCAACTCTTCCACTTGAGGCAGAGTCGATTCCTCTCACCTGATAGCTTCCAGAGGAAACGGCGTCATGCAGGGGCGTCACGCCATCGCACTTCCCGGCGTTCACGTCAGCTCCGGCCTTCAGCAGCTCCTCCACCACGGCCTCGGCGCCCACTTTGGCGGCCTCGTGGAGAGCCGTCCATCCTGAAGATTCAAGTCCAGATTTAAGCAAACAGGAGGGAAACTTTGTGCCCGAGAGCAAACAGGAGCGCCCGACCCATCAGACCTGCGTGGTCCTCCAAGTTGACGCCGATCCCAGCCTGAATGAGCCACTTCACCTGCGCCAGATCGTTTCTCCTGCACGCCGTGTGAAGATACGTCTCCCCTTTCCCGTTCCTCTTGTGGAGGAATCTGGGGCGTTTGATTCTTTCATTTCCTTTAACAACAAATGAGATAAAAATAAATCAGAATTATAGAAATAAACAAAGTCAACAGGAGGTTTGGAGGACTTCCAGCTCACCTGACGAGGAGCCTGTGTCAGGGTTCAAACTGTGAGGCGTCACCGACTGGTTCTGGTTCTGGTTCTGCTGATTCACATTTATTTCATGCTTGATCTCTTTTTTGTCGGTCTGTGTGCCTGAATCAACTGCAGTGACAATCTCAGCTGCACCTCTGCTTTGCCAAGCAGGGAGATCCTTCAACAAGCTCAAAGAGTCCTGGTCTGACAGTGCCGCGTCTTCGTCCATCAGGAGGTCTTCCTCAGCGCGTCGCTGCTCGACAAACATTCAGAGGTTTGTTCAACAACAACACAAATGACACGAGAAACGACTCTGAACAATCAGACGGCTGGAAAAATATTTGTTCTGAAAAACCGGACAGCTTTTAGATATTTTACCCATATTTTATTACTTTTAGTGTTTTTTTTAGCTTTGTGAGATAGCATTTTTCTACTTTTAGCTTTAAGCTAGCCTTTCATTACCTTTAGCTTAAAAAAGAATAGATATTTTTTTCACTTTTAGCTAGTATTTAGCTATTTTAGCTGTTACTTTTAGCTTGTAGCTACAGTTTTGTTTTTTTACCCATCTTTGTATAACTTTGAGCTAGTGTTTTCACCTAAAATTGAAAAATAAGCTAGTGTTTTGTCACTTTTAGCTAGTATTTAGCTATTTTAAGCTATTCGGCTTTCATCTCTTTTCCCTTAATGCTAAAGTTATGTTACTTTTAATAAACAATTTCCTACTTTTAGCATGTAGCTACCATTTTCCTACTTTTACCACTTTTTAAATTTATTTAACAAGTGTTTTAGTACAGTATTTTTTTTATCTTTTTTTGTAACAGTTCTGGTTTTTTTAACTTAAGCTTTAAAAACTGATTTCAGCTTCTTCAACAAATTTTATCACTCTGGGTCATCTAAAACAACATTTATAAAAGCAGAATAAAACAGTTTGTAAGTTTTACATTTATTTATTTTATAGCAACCACTAGATGGCAGCATAATATAAAGAAAAGAAACCATAAACACTGAAGATACATTATATTACTTTTAAGATAACGGATCTGTCTTTATATGTTTAATTTTTTATTCAAGATTAAATTTTCTTTTAAAAAATGCAGATAGATAGATAGATAGATAGATAGATAGATAGATAGATAGATAGATAGATAGATAGATAGATAGATAGATAGATAGATATGGTAAAAATGTAAGGATTAACAAGTTTAAAAAGTGTTAACATCTGTAAACAAAACGTTTTTTGTAAAAAATAAACAAAAGTTTTTATTATGGCATAATTATATCTAGCTGCTGTAAATCTCTTATATATTTAATGAATATTATTAAAACAAGAGAAATTTGTGACGTTTGCTATTAAAAAAACAAACAAAATAATCTGAAATCAAAACTTTAAAGCTATGTTAGCCAACTGCTTAGCTAGCATAGCGTATTAGCTTAGCAACTTAAGCTAAGTTTGTTATAAATGCACTTGTACCTGCGACTTCCTGTTAAAAGTTTCTTATAGACTTGTTGAGACAATAAACTAGTTACTAACCTCAAGTTTAAAATTTCACCTGTTGAAATAATCTTCAAAATATTTACTCAAAAATGTCCCGTTTCAGTTCGCAGAAAGTTGATGTTCCACGCATGCGCAGTTTAATGTGCTGCGTTCAAATGCAACACGGAATTATGATAATCATCAAATTTGACTTTAATGGTTTGATAAAAATATTTAGACACAAGGCCTAAAATGTGTCAACTAGTCGACTGGTAAGTGTTTTATAAATAACTGGGTAATAGTTTTAGGTTCCACTAGTTAGTCCAGCCTGGCCTCCTCTTCTTTTTTTTGCTAGAAAGTCTTGAACACTTAAAAGTGTCCATACTGTAGGATTTATACAGAAATAAATGGTGTTATTAAGTTTATAACAAAAAAAAATTATTTATTTCGAACAGACATTAAAACAATTAAAAATAAAATAAAATAGAATGAAACAAACTTAAGAAATAAAATGTAATACAAATTATTTTGCCCATGTGACATGCAAGATTTTATATTTTCTGGTCAAAAAGGAGCAGGAAGAAGATACATCTTATAATGTCCTGCCCCTTTCCTACTTGTCAATGTATAATCAATTAACTTTCAGAACATCAAAAAGAGACAACTTGTTTCCTTTTTACATCATGTTTAACTGTGTAAAATTATTTTAAGTACTATTTATATCATCATTTACATTATAGACTATTGAACATTAAACATCTTATATTGCATATTTTGAAATGAGCTCTGCTTTAATGAGTTTTTTAAATTGATTTACATTTGTAATTTTTTTAACTCATCATTCAATCCATTCCAGACATTTACTCCACACACTGATAAACAAAAACTCTTCCTGGTTGTTCTAATATGTTGTTTTTTTAAAATGTCCTTCACCTCATAAATTATAACCCCCTCTCTGTCACCAAACATTTCCTGTATATTATGTGGAAGTTTTTGATTTCGGACCTTAAACATGAATTGTGTAGTTTTAAATATTACCAGGTCCCAGAATTTCAGCATATTTGGTTTAACGAATAACTGGTTTGTGTGTTCCCAGTATCCCACTTTATGTGGTAAACAGATAGATTTTTTTTTTGTAAGACGTATAACGGCTGTAAATTTGTTTTGTATGTATTCCCCCAAACATCCACACAATATGTTAAATGTGGTACAATGAGTGTGTTATACAGAATAAACAAAGATTTATAATCCAGGACGAAACTAATTTTTCTTATAACAGCAACACTTTTGGCTATTTTAGATTTTACTAGGCTGATCTGTGGTTTCCAGCTGAAGTTATCGTCTAATATGACACCCAAGAATTTTATTTCATGGACTTGTTCTAAATCGACACTTTCAATTGATATTTTAATTGGATTATTTTCCTGTTTTTTTATTGTTTCCGAATATCATGAATTTGGTTTTATCTAAATTTACAGATAATTTATGAGCCAATGCTGTAATTTTTCTATTTCTGTGTTAACCACTTCTGAAAGTTGTTGAATGTTTTCTCCAGTACAGAAGAGTCTTGCATCGTCTGCAAATATAATGTATTTTATAAGGTTTGATATTTTGACWATGTCATTTATATACAAATTGAACAATTTGGGTCCCAAAACTGATCCCTGCGGAGCTCCACAAGTCATGTTTAGTAAGTCTGATTTCTGACCATCTAATTCTACAAATTGTTTCCTTTCTCCAATGTAGCTTCTAAGCCATGCCACCCCTCTAATTCCATACCTTTCCAGTTTTTTTAATAACATGTCATGATTAATGGTATCAAAAGCTTTTTGAGATCCAGAAATGCACCAATTGCAAATTTCTTTTTATCCATATTGTCTATAATTTCTTCTTCTACAAAAATTTAAAGGACAGAGGACATTAAACCTGATTACCCACACTGCTTTAAATAGATATTTATGTTAAAAAGGAGTAAAAATCATTCTTTGCTTCAACTTTAAAGCTGTTTGTGATGCAATAAATCATCTTCAGATGTCAGATAAACAGCCAGCAGGGATTTATATTTAAAACCTTAATTAAATCACAACACTTCATTCAGGTTGTTTGACACTTTATTGACTCAAAGATTACATTGTGTTTCTGAGGTTTAACTCTTAAAAGTCAGTTTTAAACAACCTTTCATTCTTTAACTGAACAGATCTGTGTCTGATGCAGATTATAATCTGAAGCAGCTTCAGTCGTCTCCTCCGCAGATCGCCTTCAGACATTCACGGTGGTCACCTGTCGTTTCTGACTGCAGGACAAAAAAAACACACAAAAACAACAAAAGTTAGTTCATCTGACGCCATGATTAATCATTTCATCGTCTCGGTCAAAGTCGGACGGGTCAGAAAGTTTCCTCTCCTCCAGGAGCAGCTCCAGTCCTCATCAGCAGACGGTTCCTGCAGCTGAAAGTCGTTCGGGTCGGAGGAAGCTCAAAGCAGCGGAGCGTTCGCGTTTCGTTTACATAAAGATGAAATATTGAAGCTGAGAGGCCGTGAGGTCCATCCTGACCGTCAGAACCAAACACGGGCAGGGATCCGGGTTCACTGGAGGACATTTATTTAATATTTAACTAACGTCACTTCTTGTTGTCGGCGCCGCAGCAGAACAAGGTGAATTCAGGAGGAGAAAACCTTGATTAGTGTGAGACTCACGCTGAGCGCAGACAGCAGAGAGCGCTGGTAGAGCTTCTTGAACTCTGCTCTGATGTCCAGCAGGTCGATCTCAGACCGGCTCACCATGATCCGGTTCAATGTGGACTCATCGGTGCCGCCGCCCTGCAGTTCACAAACACAGACTTTGACAATGAAACATAAATGTACTTTTATTTAACCAATACGCTTTACTAAAGTCAGGTTCTGTGTTTAAATTATCAATAAGATCTGAACTGTCCCTTTAAATGAAAGAGTTACAACAAAAACACAAAATAAATGTTTGTTATTTAATAAATACAAACTCCTATGGTTTAGTTTAGCGTTCCGTATGGAAGTCCATTATAGTCATATTATAAAAAAGTATTGTATTCAAACTTGACTCATTTCACTGTTCATTAATAATACGGAAGTTCATTTCTGCCATAATTAAAAAGCATTTTAGTCAAACTGGTTAAATAAAAGTTAACAAAATAAATAAATAGTTAAACTTGGCCTAATTTACTGTTTACTACTGATACGGAAGTCAATTTTAGCCATAATTAACAATTATGTTTCTAAAAACAGGCCTAATTTACTGTTTACTACTGATACGGAAGTCAATTTTAGCCATAATTAACAATTATGTTTCTAAAAACAGGCCTAATTTACTGTTTACTACTGATACGGAAGTCAATTTTAGCCATAATTAACAATTA